AACTTGGCACATCATCAGTCATTCTACCTCTTGCTCATGTCCGATGCAGGCCGTGTCTCGCTGCTACAAGAAGCCAACATCCTTTCCAATGTTCCTCAGTACTGCCTGAATAATCTTATACTTGAGAGAGGAGGGGGTGAACGAAAGGTAGCAGGCAATCACAAGTAACCCTGGTAGAAGTCCATGACGTCGTGAACCGGCGCAGGGGGGATTTGATCCAGGGAGGGGGGGGGGGCCCCCCCCCCCCCGACGAACAGAATCAACTCTTACAGGACCAAATTCAATGCACAATCCCAACTCCTGATTGTAATACATTTTTGCTAAAGCAAGGGGAACTCAGGTAGCTCAAGCTACCTTTCGTGATTGCGGGCAACAGGTAATGAAAAGTCTGTGGACTTCTTGCAATCAAATCAGAGGTCCTGGCAACAAATACACTGGGCGCAAGGACTTTAACTAGCTCATCGATTGCAGGCTGATCTTCTGCGTGGAAAAGAGCGATCAAGGAAGCGACAAGGCCCAAATGGACTGCGAACATGTGCATGGCACAGAACAATACGCAGAAGGGACATCACCAACCAGGCATGGTTTGACCATGAGGCACTGTGTCCCGTCACCAACGAGCTCTTTGACTTTTGACCTCAGGAGATTTGATTGCTGTACCCTATGGGCAACAGCATGGACAACACAATACAGTGAAGGTCCATGGAATTTCAAGCTCAGTCGAAGCGATTCCATCGTTGGGCCCAACCGCCCAGGTGCTTCAATGGCACTGTCATTAACGCATATTAACGCACTATCCTCAACTGCATCCCTCTCAACGTTTCTGTGTGAGATAAAGGGCTCCATGCTTCACAGGCTGTGGCAGATCTGTTTGTGAATTCTGAGGTCAGCTCCGTGGCCTGCTGTCTCTCGAGTATGAGAATGATGTGCAATGATGTGTGTATTCTGGACACTTCACTGTGACCTTCTTTTGTGTCCTTCACTGTGTCCCGTCACCAACGAGCCCTTTGACTTTTGACCTCAGGAGATTTGATTGCTGTACCCTATGGGCAACAGCATGGACAAAACAATACAGTGAAGGTCCATGGAATTTCAAGCTCAGTCGAAGCGATT